TGTTTTGAATGAGGAAAGTCGCTTCTGGGTTCGCTGATTACTAAATGGTACTTTGTTTCCTGGTCGGATACAAATTGACAGAGCTAAGGCCATCAGAAGGGGCAAAAGTGGAGAAATCAGAAAAACCCACAATTTTATAGGGGAGCCCCTTGGAAAAAATTCGAAAATTTTGAAAACGATATTTAAGCAATGGTTTGAATGAGGAAAGTCGCTTCTGGGTTCACTGATTACTGAATGGTACTTTTTTTCCTGATGGGACACAAATTGGCAAAGCTATGGCCATCAGAAGGGGCAAAAGTGGAGAAATCAGAAAAACCCACAATTTTATAGGGGAGCCCCTTGGAAAAAATTTGAAAATTTTGAAAACGATATTTAAGCAATGTTTTGAATGAGGAAAGTCGCTTCTGGGTTCACTGATGACTGAATGGTACTTTTTTTCCTGATGGGACACAAATTGGCAAAGCTATGGCCATCAGAAGGGGCAAAAGTGGAGAAATCAGAAAAACCCACAATTTTATAGGGGAGCCCCTTGGAAAAAATTTGAAAATTTTGAAAACGATATTTAAGCAATGTTTTGAATGAGGAAAGTCGCTTCTGGGTTCACTGATGACTGAATGGTACTTTTTTTCCTGATGGGACACAAATTGGCAAAGCTATGGCCATCAGAAGGGGCAAAAGTGGAGAAATCAGAAAAACCCACAATTTTATAGGGGAGCCCCTTGGAAAAAATTTGAAAATTTTGAAAACGATATTTAAGCAATGTTTTGAATGAGGAAAGTCGCTTCTGAGTTCGCTGATTACTGAATGGTACTTTGTTTTCTGATCGGATAGAAATTGGCAGGGCTATGGCCATCAGAAGGGGCAAAAGTGGAGAAATCAGAAAAACCCACAATTTTATAGGGGAGCCCCTTGGAAAAAATTCGAAAATTTTGAAAACGATATTTAAGCAATGTTTTGAATGAGGAAAGTCGCTTCTGGGTTCGCTGATAACTGAATGGAACTTTGTTTCCTGATCGGAAACAAATTGGCAGAGCTATGGCCATCAGAAGGGGCAAAAGTGGAGTAATCAGAAAAACCCACAATTTTATAGGGGAGCCCCTTGGAAAAAATTCGAAAATTTTGAAAACGATATTTGGGCAATGTTTTGAATAAGGAAAGTCGCTTCTGGGTTCGCTGATTACTGAATGGTACTTTGTTTTCTGATCGGACACAAATTGGCAGAGCTATGGCCATCAGAAGGGGCAAAAGTGGAGAAATCAGAAAAACCCACAATTTTATAGGGGAGCCCCTTGGAAAAAATTTTAAAATTTTGAAAACGATATTAAAGCAATGTTTTGAATGAGGAAAGCCGTTTCTGGGTTCACTGATTACTGAATGGTACTTTTTTTCCTGATGGGACACAAATTGGCAAAGCTATGGCCATCAGAAGGGGCAAAAGTGGAGAAATCAGAAAAACCCACAATTTTATAGGGAAGCCCCTTGGAAAAAATTTGAAAATTTTGAAAACGATATTTAAGCAATGTTTTGAATGAGGAAAGTCGCTTCTGGGTTCACTGATGACTGAATGGTACTTTTTTTCCTGATGGGACACAAATTGGCAAAGCTATGGCCATCAGAAGGGGCAAAAGTGGAGAAATCAGAAAAACCCACAATTTTATAGGGGAGCCCCTTGGAAAAAATTTGAAAATTTTGAAAACGATATTTAAGCAATGTTTTGAATGAGGAAAGTCGCTTCTGGGTTCGCTGATTACTGAATGGTACTTTGTTTTCTGATCGGATAGAAATTGGCAAAGCTATGGCCATCAGAAGGGGCAAAAGTGGAGAAATCAGAAAAACCCACAATTTTATAGGGGAGCCCCTTGGAAAAAATTTGAAAATTTTGAAAACGATACTTAAGCAATGTTTTGAATGAGGAAAGTCGCTTCTGGGTTCGCTGATTACTGAATGGTACTTTGTTTTCTGATCGGATAGAAAGTGGCAGGGCTATGGCCATCAGAAGGGGCAAAAGTGGAGAAATCAGAAAAACCCACAATTTTATAGGGGAGCCCCTTGGAAAAAATTCGAAAATTTTGAAAACGATATTTAAGCAATGTTTTGAATAAGGAAAGTCGCTTCTGGGTTCGCTGATTACTGAATGGTACTTTGTTTTCTGATCGGACACAAATTGGCAAAGCTATGGCCATCAGAAGGGGCAAAAGTGGAGGAATCAGAAAAACCCACAATTTTATAGGGGAGCCCCTTGGAAAAAATTCGAAAATTTTGAAAACGATATTTAAGCAATGGTTTGAATGAGGAAAGTCGCTTCTGGGTTCACTGATTACTGAATGGTACTTTTTTTCCTGATGGGACACAAATTGGCAAAGCTATGGCCATCAGAAGGGGCAAAAGTGGAGAAATCAGAAAAACCCACAATTTTATAGGGGAGCCCCTTGGAAAAAAATTCGAAAATTTTGAAAACGATACTTAAGCAATGTTTTGAATGAGGAAAGTCGCTTCTGGGTTCGCTGATAACTGAATGGAACTTTGTTTCCTGATCGGAAACAAATTGGCAGAGCTATGGCCATCAGAAGGGGCAAAAGTGGAGGAATCAGAAAAACCCACAATTTTATAGGGGAGCCCCTTGGAAAAAATTCGAAAATTTTGAAAACGATACTTAAGCAATGTTTTGAATGAGGAAAGTCGCTTCTGGGTTCGCTGATTACTAAATGGTACTTTGTTTCCTGGTCGGATACAAATTGACAGAGCTATGGCCATCAGAAGGGGCAAAAGTGGAGAAATCAGAAAAACCCACAATTTTATAGGGGAGCCCCTTGGAAAAAAATTCGAAAATTTTGAAAACGATACTTAAGCAATGTTTTGAATGAGGAAAGTCGCTTCTGGGTTCGCTGATTACTGAATGGTACTTTGTTTTCTGATCGGACACAAATTGGCAAAGCTATGGCCATCAGAAGGGGCAAAAGTGGAGAAATCAGAAAAACCCACAATTTTATAGGGGAGCCCCTTGGAAAAAATTCGAAAATTTTGAAAACGATACTTAAGCAATGTTTTGAATGAGGAAAGTCGCTTCTGGGTTCGCTGATTACTAAATGGTACTTTGTTTCCTGGTCGGATACAAATTGACAGAGCTATGGCCATCAGAAGGGGCAAAAGTGGAGAAATCAGAAAAACCCACAATTTTATAGGGGAGCCCCTTGGAAAAAATTTGAAAATTTTGAAAACGATATTTAATCAATGTTTTGAATGAGGAAAGTCGCTTCTGGGTTCGCTGATAACTGAATGGAACTTTGTTTCCTGATCGGAAACAAATTGGCAGAGCTATGGCCATCAGAAGGGGAAAAAGTGGAGTAATCAGAAAAACCCACAATTTTATAGGGGAGCCCCTTGGAAAAAATTCGAAAATTTTGAAAACGATATTTGGGCAATGTTTTGAATAAGGAAAGTCGCTTCTGGGTTCGCTGATTACTGAATGGTACTTTGTTTTCTGATCGGACACAAATTGGCAGAGGTATGGCCATCAGAAGGGGCAAAAGTGGAGAAATCAGAAAAACCCACAATTTTATAGGGGAGCCCCTTGGAAAAAATTTGAAAATTTTGAAAACGATATTTAAGCAATGTTTTGAATGAGGAAAGTCGCTTCTGGGTTCGCTGATTACTGAATGGTACTTTGTATCCTGATCGGATACAAATTGGCAGAGCTATGGCCATCAGAAGGGACAAAAGTGGAGTAATCAGAAAAACCCACAATTTTATAGGGGAGCCCCTTGGAAAAAATTCGAAAATTTTGAAAACGATATTTAAGCAATGGTTTGAATGAGGAAAGTCGCTTCTGGGTTCACTGATTACTGAATGGTACTTTTTTTTCCTGATGGGACACAAATTGGCAAAGCTATGGCCATCAGAAGGGGCAAAAGTGGAGAAATCAGAAAAACCCACAATTTTATAGGGGAGCCCCTTGGAAAAAATTTGAAAATTTTGAAAACGATATTTAAGCAATGTTTTGAATGAGGAAAGTCGCTTCTGGGTTCGCTGATTACTGAATGGTACTTTGTATCCTGATCGGATACAAATTGGCAGAGCTATGGCCATCAGAAGGGGCAAAAGTGGAGAAATCAGAAAAACCCACAATTTTATAGGGGAGCCCCTTGGAAAAAATTTGAAAATTTTGAAAACAATATTTGGGCAATGTTTTGAATAAGGAAAGTCGCTTCTGGGTTCGCTGATTACTGAATGGTACTTTGTTTTCTGATCGGACACAAATTGGCAGAGCTATGGCCATCAGAAGGGGCAAAAGTGGAGTAATCAGAAAAACCCACAATTTTATAGGGGAGCCCCTTGGAAAAAATTTGAAAATTTTGAAAACAATATTTGGGCAATGTTTTGAATGAGGAAAGTCGCTTCTGGGTTCGCTGATTACGAAATGGTACTTGATTTCCAAATGGTATTTTTTCTAACCTGCAGACTTTTGGGATTTCAGCATTTTTAAATTTTAATTCTAGTTTAATTTATGATCCATTTATAATTTTAAAAAAATTTCTTTACCCATTAAGAACAACTTTAAGATGTATTGCACATTTTAGTTAAACAGACCCAAGGTTTAGAAAAAAGAATCAAAATTCTAAAAGCATAAGAAATGTTTTAATATTTTCAGACTGTTTACTTTTTAGCTTTATAGCTCTTGGGCATTTTTTAACAATAAATAAGCACACATAAAGATCATGTTTTAATCAGCTTACAAAAGCAGCATGCATTGAGGCGCTTATTTAAATTTAACATTCAAATAATTAATTACTTGCCTACATCGGCAAGTATCAATATAAGTCCGCTGAGGAAATTGTGACTGGTTTGCTCTGACAACACAACTGAGTTCTCGATAGAAGCCAAACACTTTAAGCGGAAATAGAAGAAATAGTATAAAACACCCACTTGGTGCACCAATTAATCACAAACCTCGATCACTTCTCTTCCAAAGAGTTCCAAATCAGTTGCTTCAAAAAAAAAGCCCGATATGAAATACCTTTTCGTAGTCGCCTTTATCGCCCTGGCCATCCAGTTGGCTATGGCCGCTTCTAATTCCACTAATACCACCACCACGACTACCACTGAGGCAACCACGACGACCACAGATTCTTCCACAACGACAACCACCGAATCGTCCTCCACTGGAACGAAGAAATGCTCCAAGAAGAACAACTGGTGTGGCACATTCCGGCCCAAGAAGAAGTGCAAGCACCCCAAGAGGTGCCACAAGACCATCGTGAGGGTGACCCACAGGAAGGGCTAAGCTAAGAAGAATTTTCATAAGCTTTATGCCAAAAGTTTGAGTTAAAGAACGAAACTAGCTATACGGAAAGAAACTAAATATATATTCAATGAAAAATTATTTTACACTCTACTGATTTCACACGAGGCGTATACCTAATATTATATTGAAATCAAAGAAAAAATGTTTTTCTTTTTCACAAATTACGAAAATCGGATCACAATTTTCGCTGCCAGATTTTTAATAAAATTCATGATTTTCTAAGTTCTCAGATCGGAAAGGTATAACGTTTCTGGTATAACAAGTATTAACCAATCTGTGCATAATTTTCCATTTCAAAGAGTAAAAAAGTCGAACATTTTGTTTTTTTTTAACAACAATGGTTAACTGTAAGAGAGTGATACTATGATCATTTTTTAAACTGTCTATTTATTAATGGAAATTTACCTTTGAGTTTATTTATAGACCAGCCTGAAATGTTCAAGCCATTTCGTAGGAAGCTGTCGTCACAGCATAGTTTATGGTGGGTAGGGGAATAATACGCGTTTAGTAAATATTTGATTACACTCCAGCATCATAGAAACAGAACTTACAATTTCCATTTACGTATTGTGGGGCTTGGAGTTTTGGACTCATATAAAAGAGCTAGTCCCACCTCCAGTAATCAGTTCAGAACTTTCTCCCAAGATGAAGTACCTTCTCGTAGCTGCCTTGGTGGTCCTGGCTATTCAGCTGGCAACAGCAACCTCCAGTAACAGCACGTCCAGCACGTCTAACACCACCACCACAACCACCACGACAACGGATGCAACCACCACGACCACCACCGATGCCACAACAACCACTGAGAAGACCCATCATCGCAAGAAGCTCTGCTGGAGGGGCAACGACTGGTGCGGCACCTTCACTCCAAAGAGGAGGAGGAAGACCAGAAGTGGAAAGCACCGCAAGCACCGCAAGGTGGTTGTTAGGGTGACCCGCAGAAGACATGGCTGAGGTCACGGATTTCCATTATTAAATAAAATGCCCAATGCTCTTAAAATATCAGGTGTTTCTTTAAGTTTTCCACAAGATTCTTTAAGATATCGCCAATCTGTAAGGTTCTGCAACCCCAAAACTAGGGGTTGAGTTATAGCTGACTTGGACCTACTCGATTCCGCCGCTTGTTTGTAACATTTAAATATTTGCTCATTTGAGTGAAGCAGTTCTTAAAGCAATCAGGCACAACACATTTGTTATATTTATGTTGAACGTAAATATTTGGCACCCAATCTTTTGGTAAATTGATTCCGAAGCGGAAATGTTTAATTTCGTATAAAATGTCCAACTCTTGGCCCAGATAATCAGATCATTCGATCACCTTTCCCATCAAGGAAGAAACCCGTAGCCCAGAGAGCATTCAAGATGAAATACCTTTTCGTAGTTGCCTTCATCGCCCTGGCCATCCAGTTGGCTTCGGCCACCTCACCTACCACCACTGATCCCACCACCACGACTACCACTGCGGCAACAACCACTACGACAGCTTCCTCCTCAACAACAACAACCACCGAATCGTCCTCGTCCTCTACTGGAACGAAGAAATGCTCCAAGAAGAACAACTGGTGTGGCACTTTCAGGCCCAAGAAGAAGTGCAAGCACCCCAAGAGGTGCCACAAGACCATCGTGAGGGTGACCCACAGGAAGGGCTAAGCTACTACGGATTTTTCTAGGCCTTATGAATGAACTTTCAATAAAAGAAATCCTATAAAAATATAAACACAAAATATTCAATGGAAACCCATTTTCTCTTAAATAATTACACACAAGGCGGATACGTAATATTGTTTTGGGAGGCAGCATTGCGTATACTTTTTTTAAACTAACAATTTTTGGTCAAATCAAATTCATACATTATAACAAATCTTAACAATACTTTTAAAGAAAATGTTTAATTCTTCCAGTTGGCCGCAAAATTGAATAAATTAATTTTCATTCTGAATAAATGAAAGCAGCAAAGCGCATAAAGACAACTTTCTATGATCTTAAAATAAATATCTTTCACTTTAAGAAGAATATTTGGGCGTTTCAGATTTGATTCGAAAATAAATTCATAATTTAATGCAAAGTTATTATGATAGGACTTGAAAAGTTCCGAAAAACGGATCAAAATTTGTATTCCCAGGTTTAGATTGAGAATGAATACAATCGTAGTTCTATGATCGGTAAGATATAATATTTTATGATCTTTTAGATATAAGCCAGATTACAAAAATAGTAAAAAAAGATAATTCCCTTTACCTTTATAGCTTTATAGCTTTCTTAACAATATACCATTTTATACACAACAAAGGGAAATATTTTTAAAAATTCACTCTGAGTCCGTTGATAAAATTTATTTGTTCGGCCTAAATAGCTGCATACCCTAAGGCGCTTAGATAAATTTAACATTCAAATATTTGATTACTTGTTATACATATTTGATTACTCCCCAAATAGCACGTTTGTATCCACTGAGGAAACATTTGAAACATTTGGTTTGCTGTCTACTTAACTGAGTTTCTAGGTAGGAAATAAATAATTCTAGCGGAAATGGAGAATTAGTATAAAACACCCACTTGGTGACCCAGTTAATCACAAACCATCTCTTCTCTTCCAAAGAGTTCCAAATCAGTTGCTCCAAAAAAAAAGCCCGATATGAAATACCTTTTCGTAGTCGCCTTTATCGCCCTGGCCATCCAGTTGGCTATGGCCGCCTCAAATTCCACTAATACCACCACCACGACTACCACTGAGGCAACCACGACGACAACAGATTCTTCCACAACGACAACCACCGAATCGTCCTCCACTGGTACGAAGAAATGCTCCAAGAAGAACAACTGGTGTGGCACATTCCGGCCCAAGAAGAAGTGCAAGCACCCCAAGAGGTGCCACAAGACTGTTGTGATTGTGACTCACAAAAAAAACTGATGAAGAATTAAGAATCCTTTAAATAAAACCCAAAATATAGAACTAATTGAGTTTTGAAATACTCGTTTGTATCTTTTTTCTCTAGATTATTATTTTGGACTGGGGAAGAAAGAAGTGCTTCCTAAGCAAAAAGAAGGCTTGAAGTGTCTTTGCTGCAAAGGTCATTCTTTATTTTTTCAATCAGAGTCAACAATCAAATGAGAGATGGTGCGTGTCTACATCATCCAGCTAGGAATTCCGCAGACGCACTGCTGTATCTTCTTTTCGAGGTTTCGCACCTGGTTAAGCAGATCCTGGCAGAGCTGGGGCCTCTTCGCACAGCCGTCGCAAGGATCTCCACCTGGACCGCACTGCACGCAGCCACACTTGGGGGACGCTGTAGTTGGGACTGCGGAGCCATCAGTGGATACGGCCAGGAGAACGGTAGCTGCAAGATAATGGAAGAGGAGTTGGTTATAAGACTCCACTTAGGGATAATTTTTAGAATTACCGAAGATGAGGACTGCGACGAATTTCATGGTGGCTGCTTAAGTGGCTTAACTCGATCTGTGGGATGAGGACACTAACTGATGTTTGTGACCCAGATCCGATACCTTATATAGGTCCGAAAATGTTCAGACGCCCAGTGGAAAATTTCGAGAAAGCTTAAGCAAATAAATATTAAAATAAATATTTCTGCGATCGATTTCAGGCAATGTAAATAGAGTTCGAACTTGACCTCACCTGCTGCTTGACACTCGCTCTAAAAATATCTTTTTAAAAATGCAGCTTTCCCAAAATACAATTCTTATTTCAGCAAACTTTATTTATAATATGGAGCTTCCTAGAAAACTAATTCTTGTGTTCCTACTCCCTTTAGGACTCAAGTTCCAAAGTCTTTTCAATCTTTTTTCAAAATCAAGTCAGTAGTCTTTATAAAATTATTGGCAATCTGGAAGAAATAATATGAACAAAATGAGAACAAAGCCGTAATTAAAATACAAAATATGTGCATTATACTCAATACAATTGAGTCAAGATGCATGTTCCAGTCTAAGTAAATAAACCTATTAATAGCGTAAAACGTTTCTTCAGTTCAAGGTTACTTAACATTTAAACAATTGGTTGGCCACTTAAACTTATTTTTGGAAAAGTCTTTATGACTTTCCACAGATGCACTGCTGCGTACTTTCTATAAAAACTGCAGCCAGATAAAAAAGACATCAGTAAGTGTCCTCTCGCCATCCTAACGAGATAAGCTGTGCCGTAATCATGAAGATCGTTCTTGTCCTGATCATTGGTACAATTTTGAAATTTTAAGTTTATGACAACTAACTCATTTGACTTAATTTTGCAGCAAGCATCCTCGTAGGATGTTCGGATGTCGCCTCAGGATGCGACTGCGCCTGCAAAGCCTGTGGACCCGGCGGAGAACCCTGCGCAAACTGTGAAAGTAGGGAGAAGCTCTGCCAGAATCTGGTTTGGCAGGTACGGGAGCTCAAAAAGAAGATACAGCAGTGCGTCTGCGGAGTTCCTGCCTGGATGATGTAAACCCGCCCCATCCCTCATTTGATTGTTGACTCTGATTGAAAAAATAAAGATTGACCTTTGCAGCAAAGACATTTCAACCCTTCTTTTTGCTTAGGAAGCACTTCTTTCTTCCCCAGTCTAAAATAATAATCTAGAGAAAAAAGATACAAACGAGTATTTTAAAACTCAATTAGTTTTATATTTTAGGTTTTATTTAAAGGATTCTTAATGCTTCAGATCAGTTTTTTTTGTGAGTCACAATCACTACAGTCTTGTGGCACCTCTTGGGGTGCTTGCACTTCTTCTTGGGCCGGAATGTGCCACACCAGTTGTTCTTCTTGGAGCATTTCTTCGTACCAGTGGAGGACGATTCGGTGGTTGTCGTTGTGGAAGAATCTGTTGTCGTCGTGGTTGCCTCAGTGGTAGTCGTGGTGGTGGTATTAGTGGAATTTGAGGCGGCCATAGCCAACTGGATGGCCAGGGCGATAAAGGCGACTACGAAAAGGTATTTCATATCGGGCTTTTTTTTTGGAGCAACTGATTTGGAACTCTTTGGAAGAGAAGAGATGGTTTGTGATTAACTGGGTCACCAAGTGGGTGTTTTATACTAATTCTCCATTTCCGCTAGAATTATTTATTTCCTACCTAGAAACTCAGTTAAGTAGACAGCAAACCAAATGTTTCAAATGTTTCCTCAGTGGATACAAACGTGCTATTTGGGGAGTAATCAAATATGTATAACAAGTAATCAAATATTTGAATGTTAAATTTATCTAAGCGCCTTAGGGTATGCAGCTATTTAGGGCGAACAAATAAATTTTATCAACGGACTCAGAGTGAATTTTTAAAAATATTTCCCTTTGTTGTGTATAAAATGGTATATTGTTAAGAAAGCTATAAAGCTATAAAGGTAAAGGGAATTATCTTTTTTTACTATTTTTGTAATCTGGCTTATATCTAAAAGATCATAAAATATTATATCTTACCGATCATAGAACTACGATTGTATTCATTCTCAATCTAAACCTGGGAATACAAATTTTGATCCGTTTTTCGGAACTTTTCAAGTCCTATCATAATAACTTTGCATTAAATTATGAATTTATTTTCGAATCAAATCTGAAACGCCCAAATATTCTTCTTAAAGTGAAAGATATTTGTTTTAAGATCATAGAATGTAGTCTTTATGCGCTTTGCTGCTATCATTTATTCAGAATGGAAATTAATTTTTTCAATTTTGCGGCCAACTGGAAGAATTAAACATTTTCTTTAAAAGTATTGTTAAGATTTGTTATAATGTATGTATTTGATTTGACCAAAAATTGTTAGTTTAAAAAAAGTATACGCAATGCTGCCTCCCAAAACAATATTACGTATCCGCCTTGTGTGTAATTATTTAAGAGAAAATGGGTTTCCATTTAATATATTTTGTTTATATTTTTATAGGATTTCCTTTATTGAAAGTTCATTCATAAGGCCTAGAAAACTCCGTAGTAGCTTAGCCCTTCCTGTGGGTCACCCTCACGATGGTCTTGTGGCACCTCTTGGGGTGCTTGCACTTCTTCTTGGGCCTGAAAGTGCCACACCAGTTGTTCTTCTTGGAGCATTTCTTCGTTCCAGTAGAGGACGAGGACGATTCGGTGGTTGTTGTTGTTGAGGAGGAAGCTGTCGTAGTGGTTGTTGCCGCAGTGGTAGTCGTGGTGGTGGGATCAGTGGTGGTAGGTGAGGTGGCCGAAGCCAACTGGATGGCCAGGGCGATGAAGGCAACTACGAAAAGGTATTTCATCTTGAATGCTCTCTGGGCTACGGGTTTCTTCCTTGATGGAAAAGGTGATCGAATGATCTGATTATCTGGGCAAAGAGTTGGGCATTTTATACAAAATTAAACATTTCCGCTTCGGAATCAATTTACCAAAAGATTGGGTGCCAAATATTTACGTTCAACATAAATATAACAAATGTGTTGTGCCTGATTGCTTTAAGAACTGCTTTACTCAAATGAGCAAATATTTAAATGTTACAAACAAGCGGCGGAATCGAGTAGGTCCAAGTCAGCTATAACTCAACCCCTAGTTTTGGGGTTGCAGAACCTTACAGATTGGTGATATCTTAAAGAATCTTGTGGAAAACTTAAAGAAACACCTGATATTTTAAGAGCATTGGGCATTTTATTTAATAATGGAAATCCGTGACCTCAGCCATGTCTTCTGCGGGTCACCCTAACAACCACCTTGCGGTGCTTGCGGTGCTTTCCACTTCTGGTCTTCCTCCTCCTCTTTGGAGTGAAGGTGCCGCACCAGTCGTTGCCCCTCCAGCAGAGCTTCTTGCGATGATGGGTCTTCTCAGTGGTTGTTGTGGCATCGGTGGTGGTCGTGGTGGTTGCATCCGTCGTCGTGGTGGTAGTGGTGGTGGTGTTAGACGTGCTGGACGTGCTGTTACTGGAGGTTGCTGTTGCCAGCTGGATTGCCAGGACCACCAAGGCAGCTACGAGAAGGTACTTCATCTTGGGAGAAAGTTCTGAACTGATTACTGGAGGTGGGACTAGCTCTTTTATATGAGTCCAAAACTCCAAGCCCCACAATACGTAAATGGAAATTGTAAGTTCTGTTTCTATGATGCTGGAGTGTAATCAAATATTTACTAAACGCGTATTATTCCCCTACCCTCCATAAACTATGCTGTGACGACAGCTTCCTACGAAATGGCTTGAACATTTCAGGCTGGTCTATAAATAAACTCAAAGGTAAATTTCCATTAATAAATAGACAGTTTAAAAAATGATCATAGTATCACTCTCTTACAGTTAACCATTGTTGTTAAAAAAAAACAAAATGTTCGACTTTTTTACTCTTTGAAATGGAAAATTATGCACAGATTGGTTAATACTTGTTATACCAGAAACGTTATACCTTTCCGATCTGAGAACTTAGAAAATCATGAATTTTATTAAAAATCTGGCAGCGAAAATTGAGATCCGATTTTCGTAATTTGTGAAACAGAAAAAATTTTTTTCTTTGATTTTCCGTTCTTTTAAGCCAAATCGAAGGCGATTTTTTCTTTAATTTTTTCAAAATGTTCCCTATAGCGTGTTTAAAAAGTCTAAATGTCATTTAAGAGTCATTATCTCAATATCCTATTATCTCCAAAATGTAATTCTATAATATTACGTATACGCCTCGTGTGAAATAAGTAGAGTGTGAAATAATTTTTCATTGAATATATATTTAGTTTCTTTTCGTATATCTATTTTCGTTCTTTAACTCAATCTCTTGACATAAAGCTTATAAAAATTCTTCTTAGCTTATCCCTTCCTGTGGGTCACCCTCACGATGGTCTTGTGGCACCTCTTGGGGTGCTTGCACTTCTTCTTGGGCCTGAAAGTGCCACACCAGTTGTTCTTCTTGGAGCATTTCTTCGTTCCAGTGGAGGACGATTCGGTGGTTGTCGTTGTGGAAGAATCTGTGGTCGTCGTGGTTGCCTCAGTGGTAGTCGTGGTGGTGGTATTAGTGGAATTTGAGGCGGCCATAGCCATTTGGATGGCCAGGGCGATGAAGGCAACTACGAAAAGGCATTTCATCCTAAATGTTTTGGGTTAGTCCTGTGGAGCAAATAGTGTGTGACCTTTCGATGGGGATCGACCAAGTGTTGTGGCTTTCTGGGTTAAAACACAGATATTTTATACCAAAGCTTTGAGTTCCGCATTTGATCTGTCATTTTAAGAAATTTCCTGCTGTTGTTATTTTCTGATCTTTTATTTCCTGTTGCTGGCTGTACTGTTTCTATATGTGCTTTAACAAATTAAAGAAAAACAAATAATTAAGAACCTTAAATTATTGTAAACAGCCTTGGGATCAGTCTATTTTCCGAAAAAGTTCCCATTTTATTAAATTCAAAACTGGTAAAGAATAAAAGCCATAATTTCACATTTAAAAAATTTTTGTTTTTATTTATTTTTTTGTATTGATTTTTTGTTTGTTTTTTTAATCAACTTTTACACAGAGAAAAAAATTAAATTGCAATTTTTGCATTTGTTTGTTTAATTTGATTAATTAAAATTTGTTAAATTGCTAGAATTTGTTAAGCGCTACTAAAATTTAAATTTGTTTTCATTTATAATTTGTTTTCATCATTACATACACTCATAATCATATAGGTAATATATGGTATACATATACATAATATATATTATTTCATCGCTCGTTTATTTGTATCAGCTCTCTGGCTTGAGATGCGACATAATTTTTAAAGACCTATTGCCACATACATATATATAATTTGTTGGAATTTTTTTTGTAAAGAGATTACTTTTGTCACATAATTATATGGTGTACAACATAGATTTGCATCAACGGCCGTCTCGGCATTCTCGAGAATAGTTTCTCAACTTTTGGTACATACTAGTATAAGAAGCTTGGATGTGTGATTGGAAAATAAATCGGGGACGCAATTTATTTATGGATCGAGAGTAGCCGCCAATGAAACCAGATAGATCTTTAACCGAAACTCAAACTACCAGTGATAACTTAAAACTTGCTCATATTGCATATGGTGGGATAATCGTTTGAATAAAACGTTCCTATCGAATATCGAAGATGCCAGTGGAATGCAGTTTGAATTAAAATTTTATATTTTGTTTTTTGGTTTTTTTTGTGTTTAATGTTTTATGCATTTTTTGCCTACTACTGTTTGAAGGTTTTTGATCTCTAATGTTAGACTGATCGAGATAGAGATAGAGTATAGATAGTTGAGGCGTTCGTTTAATTGATTTGTAATTTGATTCTTGAATGCATTAATTGGTTCCCTTAAACAACACACACACATACATTGAAAATATACATTAGTACTGCAGTAGTAGTAGTAGTAATCATATTATTTGCCTTAGTCGGTAACTCTGTAGTCTGTAATAGAATGTGTAAAAATTCTACAATATAGATATAGCCATACATCTATTTTACATTCATATATCGAATTTTTTTGCATACCCTCGCATAAATACATATTTATATTCGCTTTTCTTATGCGTTTTGTTTTTCTTTGTTTTGGTTTATCATTATTGTTTACAAAATACTTTGAGGAGCACTGGACGTGTCTAAGATTCATTCCTTCCTTTGTTCTTCTACACCGTTTTACACTTATCCATGGAGAACGAAACGCAAAAATATCTCCCAAAATCGGGAGACTGAGACACTACTTCAAAATACAATATTTAATTCGAAAAAAAACGAAGCTCATAATGGAAAAACAACATCGAAAGCATTGCGAATTCTACAATCTTACAAAGCCTGGCAGAAGAATTCAAAAGACAAACAAAGTCGGCAAATAATATTGCAAGTTCTACAAATCAAAACTTTCTACATCTACTTTGGGCATAAAAGTTAAGTATTTGAAACAAAACATAATAATAACATAATGATTGCCATAGATTGTGTAATGTTTTTATTTTTAAGATTAGTTTTTTATTAAATAGATCACATTCATGGTTCTATTTCTTCGCTTGCTTTAATTATGTTCACATTTAATTCGTTAATACAGTATATATAGAAATTTATTTTCTTTCATCATTTATTGCTGCTACGGTGGCCCTATTTACATATACTCTATATATCTTTATATATGGGCATATGCTGATGTGTGTGTGTGTGTTTTTGTTGTGATTTTAATGATCGAATGAAGTTGAAATCGTCGATATTTTGAGTCTCAGATGGCTGAAACGTTTGTTATGTTTTAGAGTGCTCTTGGCATTTTAAACCTGGGTTATAACCTAAATAAGTATAAAGCAAGTTTTTAAATACCTAGTTTGTATTTTGTATTTTTCGTGAAAGATTTTTACCTTTATCATATAATGAGTTTTGCTTCTTATAATTCTTTTTGCATAATTCGAGATCTTTGTGGGATTGATTATTGTGGAAAAAAAATGATTTAGTTAAGATTAAATTAAATTATTGCAAATGTTTTTTGTATTTCTTGGTTTTTATAAATAAATTCATGTTTTTGCTTTTGCGTGTTTTGCGTTATGCTCGAGTATAAACCTACTATTAACCTGTCGAATACTTGGGATCTGTTTATGTTTTATTTATGATTCTTTTCTTAAGATTTTGTGGCGTGTGTGTGAGAGCTTTACGATGCCTGTCAGATACAACATACTTGATGGATTTTCATTTCTTCTTTTTTTACTTTTACGTTTTTTGTTTTGTTAATCTACGCTAAAAATTATTTTAAAATTTATTAACACAGATGACTTTATATTTTCCGAAAGTTTTCGCCTCTGCCACTTGGCAATAGTTACCCATTTTTTTGTTCATCAATTTTTTTGCTTCTTTTTTCTTTATAAATAATTTCACTGCTCATATAATTTGTTAATCAAAACAATTTGTTTGCCAACTAACTAGCCAAAATGTATCCATCCGTACACGTTTTTGTATAAGTTACATATCTTAACTGCCTCCAATAGATACTTATCGATTCGTTCCTATCAATTTGTTGTCTGTTATATCGTGTTATTGTTTTCATAATTTGTTTTTGTTTTTTTGTTAACTAAACTACAGATAAACACACAGCTACGCACATTTAATGAATTTTTGTCTGCTGAATTTTTGTCGATTTCTCTGGTTGTTGATTCTGGTTTTTGCTTTTGCCTTTGCTTTAATAATTAAAATCTTAGATTAGAAACATCAAATATTAGAAATATTTTTCATATATATCTATATTATATTGTATAATCAGCCAGTTGGCTACACTTTCTTAGCAAAGTTTGGAACTCTGCACAAAAAAACGAAAAATAATTATAATCAATTAAAATAATAATACAGAGCTTAATCATAAATTGGTGGAAATATTTTTTGAGAATTACTTGAATCTATCAATTAGCAATTATCATGATCTTATACGTTTTTGTTGTTTGTATTGTTTTTGTAATAACTGGGCTCCCGCTCACACCTGATGGTTTTGACGGAGGTCGGTTTTTGAATAATTTTTTTTTCAAAAAATTTCGGTAATTGATTTCTATGTGTTTTTTTTTTGTGAGTGTATTCGTGAGAGTGTGTGAGTGTTTATGCATTTATCAATATTTATAATTATTATATAATATCACATCAACTTTGTTTTTATATTTGTTATTATTAACTTTCCTCTTACTGCTTTTGCTTTTGCCTTTGCTGCCGTTGATCGTCCCGATTCTTATTGTTTTTCTCTCATATATATATAAATTTCTTGATTTTCTTTGTATTTTTTTCATTTAAGAATATATATATATATATATAGATGTATGTATGTATGCATGCATTTAGAAGTAATAGCCTAATTGGATCGTGACAAAAAAAATCTTGCATCATACATTATGCATTTCAGAGATACACAATATATAGTACAATCTACCTTCATGATGATGATGATGATGGCGTATACATACATCCATACATACATATGCGGTTAATACTCTCTCGTCTGGAGGTTTATTTGCCATTTAATATTCAATTTAAAACGGATCACCGACAACCATTCACTGAGTGAAGTCCTCCTCCTCTCGATAACGTTTTACAATATTTTGAATATTCCTTAATGGTTCTTTGTGTTTTAATGTGTTTGTTTTTTGTGTATTCTCCTCACTCTCCTCGCTTCTCGTTCAAGACTTGTTCTTCTTTTTTTCGATTTTTTAGTTTTTGTTTCGTTTTTCAAAAAGTACCTTTTTTTTAAGCCAAAAAGTCAGTCCAATAAGAGTTTTGAGTTGCCTGCAACTGCAGTTGATTTGTTTTTAGTTTTTTTTTTGGTTTTCTTTTTTTATCTTTTAGAGCGTTAGGTTCCAAAATAATTGTTTTCGCTGTTTTAAGAGCTTTAGAGTTGATTTGTTGGTTGCAGGAGTAAGTTGATAGTTGTGGTCCAAAAGTTTGCCTCTATGGTTTTAATAATATTTCCAAGATGTTCCAAGATGGATTCACGACCGAAGGATTTCCCAGCTGCTCTACATTTTTTCTTTTCTTTCTGTTGCTGTTGTTGTTGTTGTTGTTCGGAGGGATTGAGTTTAAAGCAGCCCTTATGCCGATCCTCCCTAGACTTACTCGGATGAGTAGAGCTTGTTCTTGGTCAGCGTAAAGTCGGGACTGATGTTGATGGTGTTGCTGCGGGTGAGGTTTCTGGACGGGTGAGGAAATCAATAGTTTCTCATTAGCATCATTAACCGAAATTACTACAAAATAATCATCACTTACTTGATGAACTGCGGCAGGAGGGAGGTCCAACCGCTCTTGTCCTGCCTCAAGGTCAGATACAGCTCGAATATCGACACAGTGTCCGGGTCCACCTTGAACGATGCAATGCGCCTGCCATGATACGAGAAACCGTTAATGAAAATTCCCAAATTGATAAATAAATAAACCAATTTCCTCACCTGACATTGTTCGGCTCGCTCTCGAACTCAATGAAGAGGGTGCAGGCGCGCTCGCCGCAGGGCTCCCGCTCCGACATCCGAATGATTTCGGCAGCAATCCGCTGCGTGAGGTCATTGGGCAGGGTCACCTCCGTGCAGGCGAGGTGGCGCCTCTTGGCGTCCCGCAGATGGGCCTGCAGTTGCTGCGACAGCTCCCGCACCGCACTGGCACTCACATCGTCCAGGTTGTCGGAGGCTCCGAACCGTGCCCCGGCCGTTGACTGCAGTGGCGAGGCGGGCAGGGGGTGGTACTGCTGCTGCTGCTGCTGGTTGGTGCTGGCCAGTACGTTGGTCATGTAGGCGTGGTGGTAGGCAGCGGCACTGCCACCGCTAATCGGAGCCTCGAAGCTAGCGGCCGCCACAGCCGACGTGGCCTGCTTGGGCGATGGTATCCCGGACCCGCCGCCGCCTCCCACGACCGTGGGTGTGGGTAGGGGACGCGTGTTGAGGGCCTGATGCTGTCGCATGTGCAGCACAGAGGCCGGATGTCCGTCAACGACATCCACGTCCAGGACCTCGCCGGTAGCCGTTGTCCCGGCCACGGTCAGTTCTTCCTCCTCCTCCTCCTCCAGGAGGTCCGACGCTGCAGTTGGCCAGTCTACTGTTGAAATCTCTACTGAAGAAAATAATTAAAATTATTAAGATAATTAATTAAATTTTATTAAATTTTAAGGAAAATAACTAAGAATTATACCTCACTGCTAGAACTTCAAATACTTGCAACAGATTTGTATTAATTACATCCGTTTTAATCACCAATTAAGCCAAAGACTGGGCCGGTGAAAGTTCAAGTTAGAGGAGCTTAACTGTAGTTGGCTGTCTCATCGACCGGCAAAGAGTGCCATGTGGGAATGGAAATGGAAACGAAAAAAATCAGCTGATGTCCAACAAATGGCATCCACTTGCCATCCACTTTCGCGTTTAACTGGGGGGGATACCGGGAAGAGTGCAGTGCGCAGACTCCACTTCCAGCTTTGGCTTAAAGGGGGGCGCGTTGGGGCGAGGGAAATCACCTGGCAACAACAGCTGGAAAATCAGCCGTTTCCCGTTTCCAGCTGACGCTCTCTCACTCTCTCTTTTGTCCCCAACGTTTCAGGCCCCCAGCCCCCTTTCTCTTGCTCTCTCCCCAGTAAGCAGCCGTCTCCCCCTCCTCTCTTGTGTCTTTGGCTTTATTTCTTTTGCTGTTACTTTATTACCCGACCGACCAAGCGAGCAGACGATAAAAACCAGAGCTCAACTCTTAAATTAAAGGCTGGGGGCTACAGTGGAACATGGAATATTAAATACAAACTTAAAGCTAACCAAGTGTCTGAACTAATTGGGTTTATGGCTTATAGATTCTTTAAGTATTTCAATCAATTTATCATATAGAAGTCCTTTTTAATATTTTTAATATCTCTTAAAGAAACTTTTAAAGACGTGTGCAAGTGCAGCGACTACAAATTAACTACTTGGCTTGTCTCGACAGCGTCTTGTAATTAGCGCGGAAACTCTTTAAAGAGCCTCCCACTTTTCTTCTCCCCCCACAGCCCCCTCCGCTCGCTCTCTTTCTTCTGTTTCTCCACCACAGCTCTACTATATAATCATTGCAACGTTGCTGAATGGACAATTTGCTCTCGTTAGCTTTGCATGAGTCTCTTTTTCCTTCTTCTCCCCACTCTGCGGCTGCATCTCACTCGCTCTTGCCGGGGCCACCTTGTCCGCCCGTCCCCACCTTCCTGGACTGTCTCTGTCTAGCTCCTTGGCACGCAGAGCAAAGCACACCCGCGTAATTAAGAAATTAACGGCACATGTTTGCGGCTCTGCATGTGTCCACATGTGTTAGATTCTCCCTCAACCCACAGACCTCCACCCCACCTCCAGGGGCGTCTACTTCTATATGTATATTTAGTTATGGGGGGATTTAGGAACTCCAGGGACTCCTATCAAGGAATGTAAAGAAAAAAAACATTGTAAAGGGAAGTTTTAACCAGAAAACCCCCCAGTTGTGTACGCCACTGCCTTGGGCGCTAGGCCGTCTCTGTCCCACCTTCCTTCCCCAGTATCGCTGCGTGTGTTATTGGATTTTGTCAAGTGCCGTTGTCTCCACAAAAGGGTTTGTGCAAAGTCAAAAAAGCGAAAGCCAAAAAGAACCAAAAAAAAAAAACCAAATAAAACAGGGAAAAAATAACATACACACATATGTACATACAACGACCACACACTTAATTATAAAGCACACAAGCCAGTGTGTGTACTTGTGCTCGAATGTGGGTACTTGGTCCACAGCTGCGAACAAATTAATAGATGTAAAGCTTTATCCATAAATTAATGAAATCTCGTTATCTTAAGGGGTCGTTAAAACCCCCATTCCATAAAAAAAAGGAAACTCTTCTTTAATGGCTAGAAGTAGTTATCGGAAGGGACCAACACTGCGTATGAGTGATGTGTATTTCGGCACCATTTTGCGAAAAAAGGGAGAAAGTGAAAATATACATACATATGTACATATGTATTTAGTACATATGTGTATGTTTATGCACCCACACCTTATACATTTTACATTATCATATTTTATTCTTTTCAATTTCAAACGAAAGGATTCAAAGTTATGCCTCAATGGCCGGCTCTCTGCTTATAAGTGTGTGTGAAAGGATGTATTTCGTAGGTGGTGTCTTTGTATTTGTATGCATATTTGGTTTTGGTGGCGAGATGGGCAGATTGATGAACATGCCCTCTCACTTACACACCACCGCAGCCATCGTGGAGCATTTGCGGCTGTGTGTATTTTGTGCATTCGGAATCAGCAAGAACGACAACACAACAGTGAACACAAGAATGTTTAACAATACCTGGTAGCAGGTAGGGTGGCAGGGGGCAGTGGCAGCCACACAGAAGCAGCATCATCAACCCATCCAAAGTTAACGGTACACCGCAAACATGGCTCTGGCTGTGTTCTGTTTTGTTGAATAAGAGCGACAGGGACAGGGACAGGGAGATGGAGGCTAGCATGGGGTTGGGGGATCGGAAGCGGTAGAGCAGGATAGGTGAGTTCAGGGCTTATTACTTGGCTCTCATAATGCGTGGCGTGGCTTGGCCTTGGGATTCAATTTTCGAGAATACAGTAGATATCAGTTAAGTGAGAAGAAAATAAAAAAAATTATATTAAATTCTACTAGTATTTAGAGCAGAACTAGGATTTTAAGAAATAAAAATAAAGAATTAATATATTCTTTTATAGCCTATTTTTACTGTACGTTAGGGTTTTCTCTCTATTTTTAGTTTCTAGTTTAATTAAACACGCAAAGTGTAGGCATAGATTGGCATCTACACTGCCAGTATGTCTGTGTTTCAGTTCTTCAATACAATCTTACTAATCGAGTTAAATTGGCTGTAAGATAGTCCATGAACTGTACTTTATACTACATATTGTATACTACATAGATATGTACAATATACATGTATTTTTGTATTTATTTTCTGCATGATTGTTGATATGTACATATGTTAGTTTTTTGAATCAATAAGCAGTTGATAAATTATTCATTACGACCAATTTTGGAAGTCATTCGCATTTGGCCCCCTAATGGAAATCTTTGGCAACCACTGCGAATCTAAATTCCACAAATACAGACACACTGGCGCGTGTTTCTCTGAAGGGGTTGATAAATATTAAATCAACTTCTTGATAACCCTTTTTCCCAAAAAACCCCCCCAACGGGAGGAATATTACATATATCGGGGAGTATCGGGGACATGGGCATAACTAATGTTTATTCAAAGAAATTAAGTAATTAATTAAACAGCATTATTGCCACCGGACCACAGGACACCGGACACAATCCTTTTACAGGGATTTTCATACATATGTATATAGTTTTGTGTATAATTTGGGTTTCAAATAATTATTTTGCATAAAGGAAAATTATGAAAAAGGATTCGGATGCCTACCCCTATTAATCTGACTATAACTGTGCATATTGACCATATTTGTGTGTGTGTGTGTGTGTGTTGTGAGTGAGGCTGGCTGGTTCGTATGTCCTTCGAAAATAAAATTGCATGCGCTCAGTCAGTCATGAAATTAAATTGACTGCAAATACATACGCTGGCCGAGAGGCGTGGGCGGCGGGTGGCCGAGAGGCCGGGTCGGCAGAGCTTTTGAGCGCGTTGCAAGCCAACAAGGTGTGCGATAGAGGCGATGCGGCCTACTCGGCTATTTTCAGGCCAATTCTAGCTATTTCAGATCATAAAAATCATTGATTTGAAAAATGTTAAGAATGGATATAAGAATAAATTTGAAAATAAAATAAAAAGGAAAGAAAAGCTAACTTATAACACTAAAAAGATAGTATTATAAGTACTATAAATCATATAAATAATGCCTCTAATTCTTCTAATTTAAGCAACATTTTTAAAAACTCTTACTAATACCCCTTTTAATAAGTAAATAGACTATTTAATTTCACTTTTAATGGAATTTCGGTTTAGTTTCATATTTCCCTGCCAGATTTTGCAACACTGCCAGTTAACGGTGAGGTGACATGTTGTTGCATGCATGTGGAGCTGCCACAGCCGCTTGTTGTGTTCGCCTCCGGGTGATTTTACAATTTTTTTTTTTATGTTTTGTTGGTTTACGTGCCGGGCTATATGACTCTCTATATGTATATATGTAGGTACCTCCCCTCTGGGCTACCCAGACGAACCCTGTCCCCCTGTCTAATTTGCCCAACTCAACTCTTTCTTGGTGCGCCGTGGTGCAAAGTTTAAAGTGACAGGATTAACAGGATGTTGCATAATCCGGCAGTCAGACACATGAACAGGATATGCTCGCCTGGCTTCGGACAGGAACTGAGTGCAAAATGCATAATGCAAATTTTACAATTTTCAACCCCCTTAACGAAAAAGGGCACTTTCTCGGGATGAAAGAAAGCATAAAGTTTGTACTATTCAGGCAAGAGGAGGATATGACTTGGAAATTTTACAAACTTTATTAGAAAACATAAAACTATCTTTCATCTATATGTGTATATTTTTTTTATTGGATATCCACACATCATTTTTTGAAAATAAATATAAAATCTTCATGTTTATTGTTCCCCAGACATTGAAAATCAAAAAAGCACTTGAAGTATGAAAGTATGGATTTATCAAAATTTTCCATTGCCATGAAAAATATTTGAATAAATGAATTTTATAATCTCTGGAAAATTTGCTGAAGACATCAAATGAAATGTTCATCCTGTACGCTATAAAATTAATTGAATCAGAAAAAAAAAAATAATGGCCCATAAACATGAAAAATAAAAATGTTCGTGGCTCATTAAAAATACCCGAAATGTGCCTTAATTGAGAATTCTTTAAAGAAGCGACCCGCGAGTGGATTTTGTAAGTTCAAAAGGTGAACGACGACCTTAAAGTTGGTTGGAATATAAAGCCGGGGCATTAAATTTAATCAAGCATAATCGAAATTAACGATTTCGATTTTAGTTTATTCGGTTACGAGGCGAGGAATTACAAAAATTTTAATTCGTATGAGGTGGTCAGTTTACGGAGGTAATAAATTGTATTTTCTAATAAAATTTTCTAAGGTAACTAATCTTTTTTCAACAAACTTTGCACTTTGGATGTAAGTTTCTCTACAAATGCCTGCCTTTTTTTTAAATTCCACACACTCACTCTCTTAAATATTAAATAAAAAACACACTTTTTAGTACTCACCTTTAATTTTTTTAACACCGAATTTTCCCTGAATATGATTTTGTACTGAGAGCACTTCCATCTTCATAGAGTCGCCGTTCTGATTCGAATTCTTCTGTGTGTTGGGGTCTTCTTCAAAATTAAAGTTTGTGGCTGCCGCTGCTGCTCAGAAGTCCTGATTCTCAGATTTTAACCGATTTTTCCGTCGCGTGTTGGATAGTTGTGTGTGTTTGGAGGGGGGAAACACGTACAAATATATAATAAATATATATATGCTTGTGTTGTGGTTATTTGTACGTATTAGAAATGCACTTTAATCACAAGAATTTGATTTTATTTCGCGTGTTGGTTGGTGTGTTGTTGTGTGAGGAGAGTTCAGCGACGATATTCAGCGACGACAGCGTTTAACAAGCAATTGGAAAAGTATCAACAACTAAATTTGTTATTCTAGTTAAACATTTTTTGTTTCAATTTAATACATTCTAAAAAATCAACGGAAATCGCCGCCCCGTCCAGCTCTCTCTCTTTTTCTCTCTCCGGATCTAGATTTCCCTTTTTCCTTTTCCTCTGTCTCTGGATTTTTCTTATTTTCTTATTAATGTTAAGCACAGCACATGGTTTTTTTGATTTTTATTGTTGGACAGAGTTATAGTTTTTCTTTTTTCCTTGCGTTTCCTTTCTACATATGGCGAGTTTCAAGTGCTAAGATGGCTGCGTAGAGTTCTGTTTCCGTCTCGGTCGCTGTCCGTTTCCGTTTTGGTCCGATGTGCTCCTCTGCCAGCGTCGACGTCGACTGAATTAGCGGTGCGGGTGTGCTTGCCGCTGTAGCTCGATTTCTGCTTCTGCCTCTGTCTCTGCCTGTAATTCTCTCTTTCGACTCAACGCTCGCTCAGCTGGGGCTCATGTGCGTGTGTGTGAGTGTTTGTGTGTGTTTGTATGGGTGAGAACAGCGCTGTGAGAGAGCTTGGGAATTCGCTGCTGCTGCTGCTACTGCGGCTGGCTGGCTACTGCGACGACGACGACGACGACTTCAATCACGGGAACTAAGAATTGAGAGCTGAGCTGAGCTGAGCGGAGCAGTTTTCCGAGCAGTTTTTCCAAAAAGCTACTATCCGGCCGGCTGTGTTTGCAGCTCCTTTTATACCAATTTTCCGGGCCGGCTGCGCTGCCGGCGTCGCAGCTTTTCCCTTGGCCGTGAACCGCAGTCACACCACTGCGCCGGCGTTGCCTCTTCTCTCTCACTCTCGCTCGCTCTTTGCTGCCCAGCTGCTGCCGGCAAACATATGGACTTGGCATGTTTAAACCAGCTGTTTTGGTTTCACTCGCTCCCACTCCGATTCTCTTGAGTGTTTTGCTTAAAGAGCGGAAGAGAACGCGGCTTCTCAAACTCTCTTTAGCTTTTTTTTGTAGAAATTCTGAGCTGGCTCTACTCCACTCAGCTTCAACTCAAACTTCACATCTGGAAAAGAAACTCTTAAGAATTTCGGAATAGTTGATTTCACAAGTTTTTGTAAAAAAAAATATATTAAAATAAATGTGGGCTTAGGCTAGAAATAGTTTTTTTTTTTTTTATTTTTAAGAAATTTTTATGAAACTATTTTTCTATTTAAAGTTTTCCGAAAGTCATTCTTACTTAAACTTTTCAACAGTTTCGGTTTAATTTTCCCAACAGACGCTTTCCCCCACTTTTGGGCCGGATAACACGACCCATTGTACCGCCTCTCGATCCGATGGCCTGATGGGAGAGAGAGCAAGGAAAATCAAGGAAAAGCAAGAAAATGGATGAAAATGCTTTGCAGACACAGAGCCTGTCACTGTTTTAACAATTCATCTTAATAGAAATAAAAAATGGCGCCGCTGGCGTTGGACAGTCCGGCTTACTACCCCTACCTCCCAGTTACTGTCACCCACCCCGTCTCCAACCGCCCACTTGCCACCTCACTCCCCCCCCAACCTCCTTCCGCTATTTGTCACTGGCTCGTTGTGGGTGCTCTGCTCTGGTCTAGGTCTGGTCTCCATTGGATCAGCTCTAGGGAAAGCATCCGCATCTCCCCCCCGTCTGGCTGTTTTTGTGTGGCGATGGGGATTTACACATGTCAGTTAATGCTGAAAAAATGTTTACACAACACAATTGCCCGGCTGAGGGCGGCGGCCCAACATCCAAAACCCAGCATGGGGCTACCGATGTGCAGAGGAAGAAATAAAAAAAAAAACATACAAACAAAACACCAGAATTCTAAAAACGAAACAAAAATGATTCGAAAACACTTTTATATGCATATACCCCCTATATTATAGAGGAATCTGGCCAAACAGACAATGGCGATTGGAAAAAATAGATCTATAATGCGATTATAGCCATAAACCCTTTTCACATTAAATCCCAAAATCCAAATAATAATAATAATATGAAATAAATATAAATCAAGGCATTTAATATCTAAAAAATAAAAATATCTCTTTTTTTTGCCACTGCATGCCAAAAAGTTTTAAGGGCCAGCTTCCCCCATTTATTTATTTTTTTTTTTTTTAGCCACGTTGCAGCTCTGTCGAACAGGATAAAAGTCAGTGGCATACAATTAATCAAATGCATGATTTATGTGAGTGAGTTCCACACGAGTTTAACCTAAATACGTCCCGTCGGGAATCATCCGAATAAGATGTTCGGGGGTGGCCCTGCCAGCAACTCACAATTTTTGAAACTCCCCGGAGTGGGAACTGAAAAAAACCCCACTCCCCTGGAAACAGCTTAATAGACTCTACCACATTGTCCATCAAAAAAGCCCTCACATGTTTTTCAGTTTTTTTTTGCCAACAAATTTTTGTAAAAATTGGAAGTTTACAATACTTGTCAGTCACGATTATCAGGAGTAGATTATCAAGGATAAGAATTATGAGTATTGAAACTTTTCAGAAATGTTCACCTTCATAAAAACTTACCCTTGGTTTCCCCCCTGAAAAGGTTTCCAGTTTCAGTTTTTACTTAAACCATACAATAAATAAAAACTTACATTTCAAGCCATAATAATATAGAGTCCCCCGGTATCCACTTAACTTCAATGTTTGTGATTCGAAGCTACTTCACAGGTCGCGCAGTGTGGCAGGGAAAACCTTCACGTTTCCACATTTAACTGGCCTTCAGACACACAAATGCACTTCGCAGAACAAATGCGGATTGCGGATGGCGGATTCCGGATGGGTTGGAATGGGAGTGGGTTTTTTTTTTGTGTCCTGGGTGACCGTAAGAAAACACTGCTAAAAGCCAGAAGGGAAAGGCTTCTGGGGCACTTAGGCTGGCTGGCAATCCTTTCTTCACAGGATCAAAATTCCCCCCAATTCTGGATTCCGAATTCCGAACGGTGCCGTTGCAGCTTCGCTTCGGGACTCCAAATAGGATACAAATGAACGCCTTTTTTCTGAGGAAAACCCAGAAACGCCATCGTCGAATGGACCACTTAGTGCGCCTTTTGTGGCATCGAGAAGGAGGTAGAGTAGTATGATTTTAATGCGTTGCACGTTTTCCCAATAAAATAGCAAAACACCAACATGGCCAACAATCCTTTAAGTTCTCCGATACATCGATGGGTAGCTAGGAACAGGAATATTGGAGCCTAGGCGGTTGGAGTAGAGTGGCTTTTTAGTTCTCGCGCCCATCACACCACTAAGAGAAAAATAGAGATGATATTAAAAGATGTTATAATACTGAAATAGCTGGAATTATGATAAAAAAATTACTTGTTTCATAAATTAAAAAATTTAATAAAATATTATTCTGGTTTTGATTATAAAATCAATCTTTAGAGATAACCAATTAATCATTTTGAACAGTGAGTGGCTTGGTGAAAGGTCCGGGGGAACTGCCATGAACATCGATTTTCATGTGATTTGTGTAGACGTGTTTGGGTTTTATTGATTTTCACTTGATTCCCTCCATATGCTTGAATATACTTAAGCCGCTACGTGCACATCTCCATCTCTCCATGCCGGGTTCTCCACCTCCAATCCGTCCATCGTCCGCCCTCTATACTTTCCGCATCAACATTGGCATTCGGATTCACATTCGCCAACCCATGCCGTGCCGGAGCCACCAACCCATACACATAGTCGTCGTCCCTCCCAGGCCGGTCGTTGTCGACAGCAGCCGAGCAGCTCTAATGTCAGGATCATGCGAGGTTATCAACATAATTTCGAAAACCACCCATCCGCACCAGCCGCCTCCTCCGTTTCCATTTCACATCTCGCATCTCTCCAATCTTCACTGCTGTGGTGCACTCCCACCCACATGCTTCTAGTTTATGATGTAGTAGATTTCTGTTTCTTTTCCTGCCTCATCATCCCGCTGATGCTGATGATGATGGTGTTCGTGGTGGCAGTAGATGGGCCTGGAGGGTGGTGCTAGTGGTGGGGTGGTCTATGGGGAAGATGGGCGCGTGTGCGGTTTGATAAGACGCCGACGATTCGGGTCCATTTAGTTTGGCTTTTCTCTGTTAACCGAAAGGTTCGTCTTCTTCGACAGTTTCGACCTTTCAGTTTCCAGCTTAAGTTTTTCCTCCAAAAGAGATTTTTCTTTCCAGGAAGTTTATAAAAGAACTAATAGAACAAGGACTGTAATAAATAAGAATTTAAAAGGCCGTTGTTTAATATTAAAAAATTATAGTAGGATTAGTAGGGATCATCATGACTCTTTAAGGCTTCAATTTAATGTCTTACCGATTTATTTGGCTCTTCAGAAATCGGAAGTAAGGAATCCTCTGGACGCTTGTTATGCCACAAAGAATGAAATTGAAGTATTTTGTACGGCAGCCGATGGAGAACAAGGCAAGCAATTGCCATCAAGTGATGGTCCTTCGTCCTTCCGTCTTTCCATTTATTTGTGTGCCAAAGGCGGAGGCAATCAAAGAGCCTGGTGGCATTCCTGGATTCCTGGACTCTGGATTCGGTTGCCTGGCTCGTTACTCATTTCGTTTCGTTTCGGCTGACATCTGACATGATTATGTACATTTGTCCCCTGGTGGCGGTGTCGCCTCCATCCATCCATCCAACCAACCTCCCACTTCCTTCTTCTGGTTCCAGCTTACCACCGCAAAAAGCTGACGCAATTTGCATGCTCCCCCCCAAGTCGAGCAGTTGAATCAGCACTATGAAAGAAAGATTTAACTTTAAATACAATTTATCATAAAGAATAT